ACAAGTATTATTTTAAATAATAATCAAAATTGAAATGTAATTAAATACCAATTTGCAATACTAAAGTGACTTTTGTAAAGTAAATTTAAAAAAAAATTTAAATGATCATTGTATACAATTTAAAGGATTGAAAATACTGTAAAATATTTACCATGCTCATTTGTCTTAGCGGTCATGCGACACAAGATGATGCGTGAAGCTCAAAAGGCAATGGTACCATGGTTTCACGGCCAGCCCATCTATGCCCCCATTGCCTCAAATGCATCTTCTCAAGCAAATCCTTTACTTTATTCAGGTCAGTACAACTTTCTCTAATAATCTGGTACGGTACTTTACAGATCTGTAATAAACCCACACTAATAATTTGTCCACCGCAGGCTCTTTTTCTGAACATTCATCCAAACACAATCTTCCCATGGCCCCTATGGCTATCCCTCCACCTCAACCGGTCCCACAATTCGTACCTTCTCACGGATACCATGCCAATGGCAGCATGAATGGAAATGTACGTGCCAATAATCAGATGTTAGATTTTCTGGAGAACCAAGTACAAGGGATGGATATGGCCGTCCCAATGCTCCAACCTCAACATCACTACACAGGAGTCCCATTCCAAAACCATCAGCCTCAATACGCAGCCCAGCAACCCCATTACGCGTCACCACCACCTCAATCCATTCCCCAGGCGGTGACTTTTCCAGCTAGGCCGCCCAGCATGCTCTCTGCCCTGGATGAGATGGGGGTCCAAGGTGTGGAACGCAGGGTCATCCAGCTGCCTCCAATTTTAGGCCGACCGAAACAGAGCTCCCGGCGGACCAATGATCAGAGGCCCAGGCAGTCAAGTCAGTCCAGCGGAAGCTCAAACCGCAATGGTGTTCATCGTGATCCTGCATCTTCACGGAGAGGAAACCAGCGCAGCTACAGCGACGAGTCAGACTGGGATGACCGACGGGGAGGTCGAAGTTCATCAGGACGCAGAGGAGAATCAAACAGGTCTCGTCCACGAGTTCGCAGTAAAGCAGAGCTGCTAGAGGAGTTGGAGCATGCAACTAACAATGGAAACAGGAGCTATTCATCTCCTCACAGAGGATCCTGGAGTTCAGACGAAGAGGACAGTTACAGAAAGGGAAGGCGATCTCAAGGGAAACTGTCTGAAAATCCTCCAGCTTACTCTTCCATTGACATTTTGCCTGGCCACAGCAGGAGGGGTGAACAGCTCTCGGTAAGAGTGTAGATTTATGTTTTGTTGACTTCTAAGGGCGTGTTCACACTTTTGGGTTGATTTAAAGTGGGACTGCTCTTATAGTGTAGTTCATTTCATATAATTATATATGCTACCATCACATCCATGGTGCATCTTGGACCAAAAAAACAGACCAAGACCTTTTAAAAGATTGGACTTATCAATGAAATCTGGCATGGTTTGACTGACATGGACATCTAAACAAACTGAAAACAGGACATGACATCACAAGATGTTTGTAAATAGAACAGAATGCTCAAACATGCTAGTTTTACTCATTGTAGTTGTGATATTTACTGCAGATCTTTCTAAATAATTGTGTGATGGAGGAATTTTGCTGTTTTAACACCTTCACACATTTTGTGAGCTCCTCAAAATTACTCAACTGATAAAAAATGCTATTACTTGCAACAAGCATTTTTTTGGTCCAAAAATTCCTACAAACTACAAGTTTGAGATAAACATAAGATGTTATGATTATGTTCTGTGGTCTCAAAAATGACATGCTAAAAGGGATATATCTCAAATAAAAATGCTGTCATCATTTAGGGCCTGTTCATGCTATGTGGGAGAAATGTTGCAAGTGCGACATACTATAAAGGGACCATTGTGAGTGATGATCTCGGTGAATAAATTAAATGCACATATGCAGCGGGTCATTTTCATATTTAATGCAGTGCAAAAACCAGTGAAATCACAAACAAGAAGAGCTGGTGATAATTAGGTGGGCATACTAAAAAACAGGTACCAAATGGTTAAGATATTTTTATGCGGCATTAACTAATAGCACAAATACCAGTCAAGTGACTAGCATACATTTCATTGTGTATCCATTTGAGGATAGTTTACCCAAAATTTACTCACCCTCTACTTTTCCAAACATGTTTGCGTTATTTTTTTCTGTTGACGACAAAAGGAGGTACATTTAAAAGTGTTAAAAAGCAGAAGCTATTGACCTGCATAACATTTTTGTTTTTACTATGGATGTCAATGGGTTCTGGCCTCCAACATTCTTAAAAAATATCTTTGAGTTCAACAGAAGAAATTAAAGTTTAGAACCACTTTAGTGTAAGTAAATGAAGAGGAATTGTTCCTTTTTGTGGTGAACTATTCTTTTAAATTTTCTTCTTCCTTTTGCTTACTATATTTATTGTCCTCCTGGGGTGGACTGACCATCTGGCAAATCTTGCAAATGCCAAAAGGGCCGGACTATTTCTTAAATGTGGGCCGGTCAGCTATTTTTATTTATTTATTTTTTATATGTATTTTTTTTACATGCAGGCAGCTTTTATCTCTTGCAAGATGTGAGTATTATGATGATGATGATAATAGTAATAATAATAATAAATGTTAAGCATTGGCCCAACCAGCAATGACCGGCTGGTTTCGAGATGGGCCGACCCAATTAGAGGTTACGTGGACATAATCAAAATCTGGCAAGAATGTCAAACAAATAGTTTGTGCACCACAAGCTAATTGTCAGAGATGGACCATAAAAAAAGGAAAGGCGGTGCGGAAAAGCTCAGAGAAAGCAAAAAAAAAAATCTCTAAAATCAAATGCTGCCAAATGGATAAACTTAACTGAAATAGTCTCGAAAGAGAGCGCAGGGGCGCAAGAAAGTCACTATTTTGAGCCTCGGCTGGGTTAGTTGGTGTTTCTGTGTTCGGGTGGGATCCTCCTGGTTTCCCTCACAAGTCCAAACACATGTACTTGGGTAGTCTTAATTGTCCGTAGAGCATTTATGTGAATGTGTGTGTGTGTGTGTGTGTACAGGGATTTCACAGTGGGTTGCAGCTTGGAGGCCATCTGCTGCATAAAACATATGCTGGATAAGCTGGCGGTTCATTCCGTTGTGGTGATCCCAGATTAAAGGGACTAAGCCGAAAAGAAAATTAATGAATGAAATGATTGCTTATATAAATTTGTTTTTGTTCCAGTCACATACATTAAATGTTTAAATGTCAATTACATATATGGTATTGCTTATATTATTTCACCATCCGTACACCTATATAAGTAGTGAATGTGCGTGTTCGTGCATGGGGCTGTGTCGGTGTGGTAATGTGGGCTGGTGTGGCTACAGTGCCCGGGCTGATTTTTAGTCCCAGTCTGCCCCTGTTGTCCTCTGTGTGAACAGACCTTTGTTCTGCCTCATTATTACAAACATGTATGAATAAGTTTTTTTCTGCTAGCACAAAAGGCAGTTTGTAAAACAACCCTGTTTGTTTGAGTTGCATGAACAAATTCTTCAAACTGTCTTCTTTTTTGTTGTGGAAGAAGAAAGAACGTCATACAGGTTTTGAAATGCATGAGGGCAAATTCTGACAATTTCAGTTTTAATGTTTTTATTGAAAAACTATCCCGTGGGTTTGCAGCAAGGCAGAGGTATAGAAGTAGATGAAAATGAATGAAGTCAGATTTTAAAAAGGGATTTTCTTTTAAAAGAATAAATAAATGTTTGTCTCATGAATAATCTTTCTCTTACAGGACAAGAGCTCTCGCAGTGGCACAAGCGTTGTGATCTAAGTCCTTGACCTGTCCTTCATTTCCAAACTGATCTGTCATTATCCACAACCTACAAGTGAATGCCTTTTGAACTACCGTCATTGGGACTAATAGTGCACTTCAGTTGATTTAATTGATTTCCTGGAAAACTGTTTGTCTTTTTAAAAACTTACTCTTTTTTTTTTAAATATATTTTTTACATTGGTTTTAGATGTTCTGTGTATTCAATTTAAAAGTTTTTCTTTGTTTTATACTGCCAGTGTAACTTTTCACTGTTTTTACTGTACATTGTTTAATTATTAACCACAGCAAGGTTTTTGGTACTTGATCAGTTTATATAGTAAATGACTAAGAATGAATGCACTTCTGTGAAGGTTAAACATGAGTCTCTTTGGTTCATTTAGTTGTTCTGTTTACTTTTAGTTAGTGTTTGGTGTAGTTTTTTTGTTTTGTTGTCTTCTTGTGGTGCTTTTATTTGAATTAAATCCTCGGGAAGATTTATGTTTTTCTGTATGTATGCGTACGCAGCTCTGGGAAGAAAAAAACACTATCAAAAGCAGCAGCAACAACAACAAAAACAACAACAATCTACCTATAACTGGCAAATCCAGATAATGTTAACTTTAAAGTGGTCCTTGATTTTTTTTTCTTCTCCAGAGCTAAATATATTTTAATTTAGCTGTATTTTAAAAGAAAAGCTGTATAATTTCATACTCTTTAATAATTGTTTTAATAATTGTACCATCAGTTTCAAAGAGAAAATGTGTTTTGTGTTTCTAATAAGCTAAAAAAGTGATGTAGAAAGTGGATGGAAACTGTAATAAAGTTACTTTTTACAAGCTTTCGGACTGGTAGACTTTACTTACATTCGTGGCACACGTTTTTATACACGAGTAAGAAGTTAGTTTTATGATTACATACAGCACTATTAATAGGTAACGTTAACTAAAAGGCTGTTTAGGGAGTAAGCTGTTTTGTATATTTCTTCTGATTGTACCAAGACCATAAAGCTTCTTGAAGCTTGATAAAATAAAAATATAACCGAGCTTTTCACGAAATACTCGATAAAAGCATACATCTTCATAAAGCAGATACTCCCAATCCAAACGTTTGAACAAACAAACCACGGGGAAGCTGCCAGGCAGACAGGCCTACAAATCTTTTCCGTTTATTTGGAAACGCCGTCACTGGAATCGCCTCTCCCTATTGGCCATTTCTGACTAAACGAGGCGGGACTAAAGCGAGAGTGTTGGGAAGCGAAAGCGTCAATGTCAAACAGACCTGGATCGTTTGTATCAGTCGATTACAACATCATCCGCAGATAAAGCGCCCGTCAGCGGACACAGGCAGCAGCAAGTCAGCGTTTGGAACAAACTTACTGAAGCAGAAGCTGCCGGTGGACTGGCCGATCTCAGGTACGCGGCTTTGTAAACAGACGTATCCTTTTATAGAACAATGACAATGCTAAAGCTCTCCGTAAATGTGCATGTGGCCCCAGACGCATGCTGTTGTTGAATTGGTTTTTTATATATTGGTTCTACATTATTATTTAATTTAGAACACATTAAATGGCTATTTGTTTTCTCCAGAAGGGCCTTGTTTACAATTGGAGTGGACTAACTTGCTGAACTTGCAAAAGCGGTTATAGTCAATTTATCATTCTTGCAGCCATTTATCATCATATTAACTCGGAAATTTGTGTAATGTACGCTAAATATGATTGCTATGAAGCTTATTTCTGTACACAATTCTAGTTAGAAGAACCTAGCTTAAGTTGGCTCTTTAGCTAGATAATAACTAACATGTTGCAAAATCCAGACTCACCAGCTGCATTGGTGCTGGTCTAAGATGGTCTACCAGCTACCAAAACAACATGAATAAGGTTTTCCAGAAACAATGCATACAGTTCAAAAGGAACTTTCTAATAAGCTGATATCTTTTGCAGGAATAATGAACTCTCTCTCGGGTAAGAGTGTGTTGACGCTATGCAGGGCTTTCTCCAGTCCTTTATTGCTCCCTCCTGCAATGGTTGGGGCAGTGAGGGTCTGCCACACAGGTGTGAACTCCAAAGGCACGGTCTTCACCAGAAAACGAGGCTACGATATCACAAGGAACCCCCACTTGAACAAAGTAAGCATCTTTTGGGTCTCAAATGCGGTCTACGTGACCATCAGGTATTAGATTGTCAGGAGTCGGTGCTTTGATGCAGTTTTTATAACATTTAGTAATACCAAAGTCCCAATTGATAAGAAAGTATGAAAGTGGAACTATGAGATCTGAATGCATACTTTGGCCCCTAATACACATTACAAAGAGGAGATGCTCTAAATGTGCTTAGGCATCTCAAAATCAGTGTAGGAAATGACTCTTGCGTTTTGCAAAGCACTTTTTCGGCAGTGTCATGGAAATGTGCCTGTGGAAATGTTGCTTTCACATTATGCATCCTGTTTGTGAAGACTCTCAAGTCAGACTGAAATATGGGATGAGGAATGGGTACAACTTTAAAGCATTTGTGGATGGAAACTGTTAGGCGTAAACTGGGAGTGAAGAAACTAGCAGGGGAGGTTGGCCAGACTTGCTTCCCATTGGTCAGAAATAAATAGATCCAGCATGTGATGCATGCTACCGTAAGCTGGAAACCTGCCCATGCAGACCCTATTGCAGAGCAGTCATTTGTAGTCTGTAGGAGGAGTGCAAGTTTTTTTGTTGTACATTTGTGGTTAATAATTTTATGGTGTTACGCTAACAGGGCATGGCATTCACCCTGGAGGAGAGGTTACAACTTGGCATCCATGGCCTGCTGCCTCCCTGTTTTCTCTCTCAAGATGTCCAAGTGCTTCGTGTCATGAAGAGCTACGAGACGCGCAGTAATCCTCTAGACAAGTAAACAGACGTTGCTTAAATCATTAAGTGCATGATCCTGAAATCAGAAGCACAGACTCAAATCCCATTCCTGCTCATAATTCTGCAGATACATATTGCTGATGACCCTGCAAGACAGGAACGAGAAGCTTTTTTATCGTGTGTTGACCTCTGACATTGAAGAATTCATGCCTATTGTCTACACCCCTACTGTGGGCCTGGCCTGCCAACAGTATGGCCTTGCTTTCAGAAGACCAAGGTGAGGTTTATACTTAATCTGGTCCTATAATGACCAGTTTAGTGAGACCGATTCTGAGTAGACTGTTCATAAAAGCTCTGACCAGTCCAACCTGTTTTTCTTGGCTGGATCAGGAAAAAACATACATGTAAGTGGCACGTGATTTTGACTTATTTATACATTTATTACTTTTTCTCTCTCTATAGAGGGCTGTTTATTACTATTCATGACAAGGGGCATATCGCCACTATGCTGAACTCATGGCCAGAGGAGGACATTAAGGTATGTGCTAAAAGATAATGTTGTTATTTTGGTGCCATCAAATGGGAGTTTCATTGAATGTCAATTAATAGGCCATAGTGGTGACGGATGGAGAAAGAATTCTGGGATTAGGAGACCTGGGTGGCTATGGAATGGGGATCCCAGTGGGCAAACTGGCTCTGTATACAGCATGTGGAGGAGTGCCACCTCAGCAGTGCCTGCCTGTGCTGCTAGATGTGGGCACTGATAATCAGGTAAAATTTGAATAGTTGCTCGTCTGTACAAAAGTATTTTCTTGTTGTTGTTTTTCTTTTTTTTTTTTGCATTTACAAAGCCTGTATATTTATACTTGCGTTTTCCATGTTTTTTTGTGCTTTTAGCCAAAGAAACGTACTAATCATCATATTTTTCAAAAATAATTTCAAAATCAAACTAAAGTCCTTCAAGGATAATTAATGTGTCGGTGATCTATGGAAAAGGGATTATCATTTAAAAACAGTTAATTATTATTATTATTTTTATTATGGTTATTATATATACTTTATATATTTTTGATAATACCCTTGTGAATTAAGGCATATTAATTTTTTCACTGTAAAAATACTATTTTGAAATATTAAAGTAGTAAATTATTTTATATATTGATTTTTATTTGATAATTTATAAATGACTCTAAAACAATAAGATTTAGTGAAACATTTATTATTATCATTATTATTATTATTATTATTATCATCAATGTTGAAAATGCTTTTGTGATCATCATGATTGTTTTTTTGAGGATTCTTTGTTGAATAGGAAATTCAACCATTTTAACTCTTCAAACATTTTAATGAATTTGAAATGGCTTTTTGTAAATTTTACTGTCACTTTTGATAAAATTAGATAGATTAAAAATGATACTGACTAAAAACTTGTATATACTGTAAAATTGTCATTTGTTGTTCATGGGTGTCATTTACTGACACCCTGTTGCCTGTTTTAACTGATTTCTATTTATTTGACTTCAGACCCTCTTAGATGACCCCTTGTACATCGGCTTAAAGCACAAAAGAGTGAGGGGCAAAGAATACGATGACCTCATTGATGAGTTCATGCAAGCAGTCACTGACAAGTATGTTTAACAATGTTTAACAAAATTCAGTGGGTCTCATTCATTTATCATGCTTGCGGACAATTTTGTGAGTAAATTTGTGTATTTTCATAAATCACTCATGATCAACCAAATCCTTTGTACTAAAATGGATAGAAAATGTTGAAAACTCCACACTAACTCCAAGTGGGATTACAAATATGAAGTTCCTGTGATTAACTTTACAGATATATGCATTTTTGTCCAGCCTGTAATCTGGCTTTGTGTTTATTGTGTTTGAACTGGTTTTGTGAATGACACGCACACATGTGGCATTGCTTTAGATCAGCTTATGTTTGACTAAAGTGAGAAAAGGCTTTGAAAGAAATTATTATATGGAGATATTTTGGGTGCTTTTTATGCAAAATATTGAACTTGTGCATGTGATCGCTTCTTTATTAATAATTCACAAGTTATTCATTCACAAATTTTCATTATTTCAAATTCACAAATATAAAAACAATATAGAAAGCTGAAAAGCTGTAAGCATTGACTAACATGGTAGGTAAAACAAAACTATGGATATCAATGGTTACAGATCAACGATTCTTCAAAATATCTTCGCTTGTGTTGAACAGAAGAAAGAGACTCATAAAGGAGTCTCTAAGAGAGAGTAAATAATGATAAAATTGTAATTTTTGGGTGAATTATCCATTTAAGATCAAAATCATATGCATACAGTTTGTATTTTTTTTATTTTTTGGTGTAAAAAGGTCTGTATGCACTAACATAAAATCAAGTGCACAAGTTCATTCGGTTCACAAATCTGAAATATCTTTTCATGATCAGACTGACCTTGTGCATGAGCTCAATTAATTCTGACTTTGCTTAGGTAGTTGGTTAAAGATTAACTGGAGTATAAGATAATGCGTGTGAAATGCATACTGTACAAACATGTCATAATTTTTATTCATAACTTTGTTTCAGGTATGGTATGAATTGTCTAATTCAATTTGAGGATTTTGCCAACAGCAATGCCTTTCGTATTCTCAATAAATACCGTAACCGTTATTGCACCTTTAATGATGATATCCAAGGTAGGTGTGCACATTGTACTACCAAACTATAATGATGTTCAATCTTAGTAATTGAAAGTCATAGGCTGTATTCAAAATTGCCCTCTATAAATTCACTATTACCTACATTACTCCCCTAATATAGTCCACTCAAACGAGTAAACGAAAACAAGTGGGTGAGTGCTGAAGGGATGCCATTTTTATTGTACTTTGCCGCTTGATAAATGTTAACAATGTGAATCCTGTTATAGTTATTTAACACTTCAAGCTGTCTATTAATAATGAAACATTCATTGTAGTAATTTGATTTCACATATATACAATGGGGGAAATAAATAATCAACATATCACCATTTTTCTCAGAAAACATATTTCTAAAGGTGTGGTTGACTTGAAATTTTCACCAGATGTTAACGACTAAATAAACACCTTTATAAAAAGAAATCCAATCTAAATAGTTTACAAATTAAGTAATGTGTAATAAAATGAAATGACACAGGAAAAAAGTATTGAACACCTGAACAAAGGGAGGTGAAAAAAGGCAGTGAAAGACGGTAGCTGAAATCTTTTAGTTAATCAGCAAGCCTCTGCCCTTCGTAAGTGTAAATGAATATTAGCTGCTTCAGTCCAACATCTACATTAGCAGGATGATGAAGATGAAACCAGGGTTGACATTTGAGCAAGACAATGACCCAAAACACAGCCAAGGGAACTCAAATGGTTTCAGAGAAAAAAAAATCAAGCTGTAGAATGGCCCAGCCAATCACCTGATCTAAATCCAATAGAAAATACGAAATAAAGATCAATTTGGAAAGACAAAACCCACAGAACCATCAAGATTTTTACTTTTGGGAAAAAAAAAGAGAAATCACACCCGAGCAATACATATAACACCACTGCAAATGGCTGCTCTCTCAAATAGTGCATTATTTAAGGGTATAGAGGGTTATTTCGATTACAGTCTTATTTTACTAAAGCTTAAAGAGCCATAAACTTGCTTGTTTATCTTTTTCAGGCACAGCTTCTGTCGCTGTCGCCGGGATTCTTGCTGCTCTTAAAATCACGAAGAATAAACTTTCTGATCACAAGTTTGTGTTTCAGGGAGCAGGAGAGGTAATGCAAATTCAACTGAAAGATGCGAATGAAGAATACAAATATAGTGGGCTTTCAAATCATACTTGTTACTTCAAGATTATCAGAATTGTTTGGATTTTGTCTGTTATTTGATCAGGCTGCTTTAGGAATTGCCCACTTATTGATAATGGCCATGGCCAAGGAAGGTATACCTCATGCTGAAGCTGCCCAGAGGATCTGGATGGTGGATTCCAAAGGCCTAATTGTCAAGGTAACAACCAAACCCACACCAGTTGTTCTGTTTTTGGAATTTGTTCCTTCAAGCTATCAAGCCTCCTACCCAACATCTGAATATACAAATATATGTAGGCTTAATTGTGCATGAACTAGAGTAATAGATGGCGTTTGAACACCAAAATTAAATGTTATGCCTGTTATTTTGTGTCCCTTGGCCATCTAGGGCAGAAGTCACCTGAACCATGAGAAGGAAGAGTTTGCTCATGATCATCCTCACATAAAAACCCTGGAGGAAGTGGTGGAAACCATCAAGCCCACAGCTATCATCGGTAAACAAGGACTTTAGCATTTGTATTTTTGCACTATTTATATTTATTATATATCATTGTACTGATTTTGAAGTAGCTTTTTTTTCCTGATTTTATGCTTTTGTCATTTGGTTATATGCCTTAATCATGTTTTAGCTTTTTAAAAAGTTATATTAATCTATAATCTAGGTTTAAATAGATTCAGTGTATTTTTATTTCAGGTTTAGTCATTTTAGTATGTAAACTTCAGCTCTCTTTAGTTCATTTGTTTAATGTGAATGCAGCAATGTGTCATTGGCCAACATTTATCAGCTGATATTGAATTTAAATGATCTGTAATAATATTGAAAAGGCAGTTTTAATTACATTGAGGAAATGAGCTGCATGTCTTTTTGAATAATCTATTTTTCTCAGAGAAAAATCATTAAATACCTGCAAAAACGAAATGGAATCCTTACAACATGTCAGACTTGAGTCTAATATTTATATATGAAATGCATGTACCTATTATAGACCATGCTCGAGCACTGGCACAAAACCATTGGTCAATTTGGGTAAAAATGTCTGCACATAAGCGAGTCATTATTTTTCAGAAGCAGCAAAAAGTATAATTTACATATAGCAACACAACAGCACAGACTATATTTGTTGTTTATTAAATAAATATATCCTGTTACTTGTCAAAAAAAGTTACACTTCTTAAAAGAAATATTAAATTGCAAAAATCACCTTTAAATATTGTCATGCCTCTCCTAAATTGTTGAATGTAAAATGAAACTAATCCATGCTCAGTAAAACTAATTTAATGGAGGTAAAAAAAAAGAAAAAAAAAAGGTAGCATTGTATTGCACTGTATGACAATCAGCATCGGCCAAATAAATCCTATCATGCATTCCATTTTTTTAATGTAATGTAAAGATTTTTTATTTTATTTCTTAAAAGATATGTACCATAAATGTCCTGTTAAACCCCAGGCCAAGGCTGAAATATTCATCCCCACAATGATTACTCTTGTTCATCATCATCACATTATTATCTTTTGGCAAAGCCTGAGTTTTTTTTTTTTTTTTTTTCGGTCAAAAGAAAAACTTGATAGATCCAATAACAGTCACTTTAAGTCAGAATTATGAATAATTTCAGGCTTGACTCTACATAGGTAGGTTTAATTATTACCAGGATTGACATTAAGAAGTAGATACTGGCTATGAAAATGAAAGAATACAAAATATTACAGAAATTATATATATACATATATGTAGATATTTTTGACACAAGGCATGATCCGACTGCCTGCACCAAATGCCAAATTAGTCACTCCAGGTTGACACTTATATTTATGGAAGAATATATTCACCACCCGTGTGTAGCAGGGCTGCACAATACATTATATCAGCATCGATATCGCAATGTGATCACTTACATTAGTCACATCTCAAGTATATGCAATATTAAGTCTAGATTACGATTGATCATTTTTGCAAGTGTTTTGAGGCCTGAAACTGAGTTGTAAAAGCATTCAGACATAAAAAATTGTACCGTTTGTAAATTTGACAAATTAACAACGATCGATTTTATTGAATTATTTATGAAACAAAGACTATGCAGTATTATTTTACTTTTGATTATTCAATTACTGTTTACCTGAATACAGTAAGACTCCTTTGAAAAAAATAAAACGCTGTTTACTTAATTTCTTTATTTGAATTATTTTGTGCTTGTAGATTATTATAATTTATGCACTCGGCTACAGAAACATCTTAATCAAAATGATGATTTTTTTCTAAGTAGTTATTCAACTCATCTAGTGAAATTGTATTCATATAACAATATATATCACACAGTAAAAAACAATGCAATAGATTTTTCCAGTGTCATGCAGTCAGTGTAACCACTGTCAAGCTTCTCTCCCCATAAAAAAAATATATTTTATCAGAATGTGACGATGTCTAAACAAGACTTTTATACCGAGAGCACTACGATGGATGTTTTAAAAAATGTATTAAAAACTTTAAGCAAAAATCATATTAAAATAAATTTAAAAGTCTTTTTTTTTTTAACTCTAATCGAAACATGAAGTTGTTATTAGTATATAATGTTTTAATCTATGTTTGGTTTGAACTTGCCATGAAATGTGCCTGATCTGGCAAAAAATAAACAAACTGAAGCCACTAGGGGCTGTCAGCAGGAACACAAATTTGTTTATGTAGCACTTTGTGTGTTGCTGTAAATGCAGTTTTACAGGTTTGAAGCTTGCTGTTTCTATTGCCATCTACAGGTGTGGCTGCTATAGGTGGTGCTTTCACTGAGAAGATCATCAAGAACATGGCTGCTAACAACGAACGGCCAATTATTTTTGCCCTCAGCAATCCCACAAGCAAAGCTGAGTGCACAGCAGAGCAGTGTTACACACTTACTGAGGTAATAATACACACTTAATAATAGAATAGTTCGCTAAACTAATAGCGTCATATCAGGGTGAAAATACCAAGTCAGTTTCACATCAGTTTAAATTGCATATATGTGTGTGTCACAGGGACGGGGTATATTTGCCAGCGGAAGCCCCTTTAAAAAGGTCACTTTGGCAGATGGGCGCAGCTTCTATCCTGGGCAGGGAAACAATGCTTATGTGTTTCCTGGAGTCGCGTTGGGAGTTATTGCCTGTGGTGTTCGCCACATCTCGGACGACATTTTCCTCACTACAGCAGAGGTTAACATACATGAAGCTTCGTTAGGGAACAACAGTGAACAAACCGACAGTGTTAAAGCTTGATTTCTTTTCCAGGCCATTTCTGAGATGGTCACTGAGGAGCACTTGGCTGAGGGAAGACTGTATCCTCCACTGAAGACCATCAGAGAAGTGTCCTTTAAAATCGCTGTTAAGGTCAGTAGCTGTCAATGTATGCACATGATGATGATGATGATGATGATACATAAAGATCAGGACTTGTTTGCAAACTCTTCACTTTGACACCGATCAGAAATATGGAATGAGAACATGCTAAATTAAGAGATTTATTAATACAGCAAAGTAGGTTGTCAGAGCTGTCAGGTCAGATTTTGCCAAAAAACAGGACTGTAGTGTTTTTTACTACTGATGGTGAGCTAAATTCATTAGCACAAAAGCTACATTCTTTAGCATACAGAAATGTGTATGAGAAACACACCAAATTAAGATTTTTTTTTCATTAGACATATGGTTTATATGTAAACCATATTTATAAACGATGTAAACTAGACACGTTTAACTACATGCATGATCTTTAATATGAAGAAGTTTGGGTTAGGTGTCTATTCAAACTCATTCATTTTACCATTATGACTAAAAGGTTTGAACAAGGGTTGATGTCCAGACTCTGTCCTCGAGGGCTGGTGTCCAGGAGATTTTAGCTCCAACCCTAATCAAACACACCTGAACCAGCTAATCATACGCTTAGATATACTAGAAACTTCCTGGCAGGTGTGTTGAAGATAAATTCTCCAGGACACCGACCTTCCAGGACCGAGTTTGGACACCCCTGACACCCAAGCTGTGCAAACACTAAACTTTTCTATATCAAACCCTGAACATGTTCTAACTGTTTAAGTTGTAGTAATTCCTCTTTAACAAACTTAATATTTAAAAAATAAAAATTGTGTTTATAGAATAAAAACAAAACTAAAACAAAATCCCTTTAACGCAGGTCATTTCATTCTGCGGCCATTTTTGGAACTCCTCTGGGCGAGTATGCTCAAGCATTCTGTCTGAATGAGGAAACATCAAATTCTCCAAAACTGTTTGCCAAGCTTATGATTACATTACATATTTAGAACCACCAATAAAATTAAACGACATCAGTCTCATAAGTTTCTTTTCTAAACGTTCAAATCAAATTTTTAGGTTGCCCAAGCTAATGCGCATACGTACTCGAAAAGAATGAGATCTCGACACCAACATCATTTATGGCTGTTCTACACATTATCATCTTCTGAATAAAGATCGTCTGATCACGCTGGTCTTCTGAAGTAGTTCACAACTTGGTCTTGATGGTGAATATCCTCCAGAAATAAGTCACTCCGTTTACAAGTTTGTAGGTGTTCGAGTAGTTGCTGCTGCCATATAATGTGCGTTTGACATGACGGACTGTACCTCGCGTTCGTTTCATACAGATTACAAAACCAAAAATCTTTTGTTTTCAAGTGTAGTTTGTTCATTTAAAAGCCCATATTTCAAGATTTATGGTCCGAGCTTCTCCCCCTGAGAAAAGTCTTTAGTGATCTATGATTGGCTCCTGTACTAGTAAGTGGGGCTCCATTTGCCATATTGACGTTACACTTTTCCCCATTCAAAACTATACGAGTGACACGTCTTGTGTATTCTGAAGTCTTTGACTAAAATTAACAAAACCATTAATGAATGAACTGTAATTAATCTGAAATGTTATATCAAAATATACACTTAATTAAAAAATGCTAAACTATAATAACCTTGTTGTTAGACAAGTCCTCTATCTGAAGTTCCACAATAATCTGCAAAAACTGCTCAAGGTATACCAAACATCTTTGTCATGTTATATTCATTAAATTATCACTGAAAGTTATTGGTTGAAGATGAATTTATGTTAAGAACATGACAGTAAAACTAATTGTTAAATTAGCCTGAGTAAATTTTTTTTTAGTGTGTTTAGCTTGCAGAACAACACAAATCTGAATGTTTGGTAATTGACTGTTGGGTATCTTTCGTGTTTGTTTTTATTGTGGTTTTTTTTTTTTTTTTTGATTAATTTGATATTACAACACCTATAACAAACCTGACAACAGATGGTTTTTTGTGTGCTTGCAGTGTTGCCATGCCACTTATTTTAAGTGTTTTTCTAGAGCAGCAAAATGTATAACAGTGTCCACAGGGTCTTAAAAAGTCCATAACTAAATTTTAGGCCTTAAAGTCTTAAATATCAAATTGAAATATCTTAAATTAAATTGAAATATCTTCCAGGTCTTAAATCATCCAACACATCCAATCACTGAAAATGCATTTCAATAAAACTTTTAGCAAAACACCAATCATAACTAATATTATATCAGTCTGTCGTGCATACATTTAGTTTATCCAAGTTTTAATTTACATTGTTGAAAAAAAATAAAGGTCTGCTTGTTTTGACACAAGCAGATCCTTTAAATTAATAATTATTGTAAGTAATTAAAATAGTGTTGTTGCCTCACAGCAAGAAGGTCGCAGGTGAGAGCCTCGGCTTGGTCAGTTGGCGTTTCTGTGTGGAGTTTGCATGTTCTCCATGCGTTCACGTGGGTTTTCTCCGGGTGCTTCGGTTTTCCCCACAAGTCCAAGGACATGCACTACAGGTGAATTGAGCAGGCTAAATTGTCTGTAGTGTATGAGTGTTTGGGTGTTTCCCAGAGATGGGTTGCAGCTGGAAGGGCATCCGCTGCGTAAAACACATGCTGGATAAGTTGGCAGTTCGTTTCGCTGTGGCGAGCCCAGATTAATAAAGGGACTAAGCCAAAAAGAAAATGAATTAATGAATAATTAAAATATAATGCTAAGAAATAACTAATTAGAATTAGTTTTTTTTTAATGGGGCAAGAAATTTTTTTATTGCTGGGCCATTACAAAAAAGCCTTCGCTATTAGCCCTATATAAGTTTAAAGTTACGTTCTTGATGGTCTTTAAGTCTTAAACTTGACTTGGTGAAACCTGCAGAAACCCTGGTATAATTATAATACCAAGTTTATTAAATAATAAACCAAGGGTGTCACACGCAGTTCCTGGAAGGCCGCAGCCCTACATAGGTTGTTTCTAAATTCCAAGAACGCAGAGACAGAAGTATATACCTTACAGATATGCTTTTGCACAAGACAAAAAAAACGAATTTTAATACAAATTTCAGCAAATAAACAACCTTGATGTGTTTATGCCTTTTTTATGTTTACTTCATGTTCACATTTAGAGAAACTCCAGAGATTTGTGATATCTCTGAACAATAGAATAATAGATCTATATAAAAAGCAGTGCTTTCCCACCTCCTCTAACCCATTGCAATGACTTCTGGGGCTTCTAGAGCGAGTTCCGTGCTTAAGTCTGCATCGGTTCGTCCTTGTTATCAAAAACCCATCCGTGAATTTTCACGCGTCCTCTGTTCTTAGGGTCTTGAATTTTGGAACTGAACTTTGTTGATGAATAATATAAAAGAGAACAGGAGGACGCATGAGAAACAGCCACAGTTCAGTTCCAACCCTGCTTCAACACCCGAACCTATTGGTTTCAAACAAGCCTGAAGAACTCTATTAGTACGATCAGGTGTGTTTAATTAGAGTTGGAACTAAACTGTGCAGAGCTGCAGCCCTCCAGGAACTGAGTTTGACTCCCCTGTAATAAACAATAAATTAAGTTTATTTAATAATAAGCTTATTAAATATGTTCTATGTCAAGTGAAATGTACTGTTCTTAAAAAGAAATATAGAATAGCAAAAATCACCACTGAAGATTGTCATTGTCTCACATCGACACTTATTTTAAGTGTCTATAGGCTTGTTGTAGGAGTCGCTTATAAATCTATTAGGTTGATTAGTTATTAAAGTAGCCAGATGTGTGCATATTAATATATTGGTATTATTTTCTATATAAAGTATTTCGATTTAATACTTGCACTTGTCCTTGTTTGTTTTGGGGGTTTGGTTATACCAGGATCTGGCTACATTAATAAGTAGTGGTTCATATCTGCTCAGTGCAGCTGGTTAATGTGCACATAAAGAGAAATACTTACATCCCTAACCAGTTGTTCAGTCTGCTTAAGTACAAAATTCATGCGGTTTTTGTAAAAATGCAGACTTCATTGTTCCATGATTCCAGATTTAAGGGGCTCAGATGGTGGGCTTACCCAGCCACCCTCTAGAACTGCCACTGTGTTTGCTCCAGCACTAACACACTCTCTCTGTTTTATCTTCTTCAGATTGTGGATCATGCCTACAAGCAGGGCATTGCCTCATGGTACCCTGAACCCAAAGATAAAGAGGCCTTCATTTTATCCCATGTCTACAACTCCGACTACGACTCCTTCACTCTGGATTCATACAGCTGGCCTAAGGATGCCATGAAGGTTCAGAACGTGTAGCTTTTTGACCATCATCCTTTTCAAAGGGATATTCTCATATCAGTCACATGCCTTATTATTCAGTTCATAACCATCTGACAGTATACACTCCAGCTCCAGGCCAACCAATCCTTAAAAAAAAGCAGCTGCTTTCACTGATTTGACACGAGATGAGCTGTATCTGCTGCGGGTGATAAAAAACAAGCTCAAATTGTCTTCAGAGCTCAGTTCACTGAGAGAAAAGCAGCTTTTTAATGCAGTTACAAGCACTTTCCCCCCTCATCTATTCAAGCCCGTTTGCCAGCAGATCTGTTCAATCTTTTAGCTCTGCTGTCAGCATTCTATTTATTTCTAACCAGTTATTCGCTCCAACTATTTAGCACTCCTGCAAACACATATGTACTGTAAGTGTAAGGAGATGAACTATTTTTGTACAGCAACCCTGAGAAATGATAGACTACCTGGTTCGAGCATTTATACGAGAAGGGACTTTTGTTAGTTAGGTAGGAGAGTAGATATCCAATTGACCTGTTGTTAATTGAGTCCTTTTAAAATGGATTTTTTTTACAAGTTTCTCCTGTTGTCTGCAGCCAAAGTTTGTCTAATTTTAAACATATTATTGTAAAGCGCTGAACATTGGTGGCTTGAGTATATCAGTTTAAATGTCCACCTAAAGTGAGCTGTTTGTCTACGTTCATTGGAGTGCGTGCAGTTGTTTTTAATGTTTCTCCTCATTTAGGATTATGCTTTGCTTCTCAGTAATGCACGATTATGGAGTTATTTTTTTCAGATATTCAAGGAGATTTTGAAGGGATTGTGGCTTTTAAATAAACACTTTCAAATAAATAAACTGGGTTTTATTTGCTATGAATGAGCTGGACTCTTTGTCCACACATTGACTTTTTTGATAGCAATTTATTAATTTTAGTTGTCAAAGTGCTCAAACGGGACCACAAGCGTTCAATAGGAACAGATGTTTTTGAAGAAATGAAACATAGCAATCCAGAATGGATTACGCAGGCAGAGTAATCCAGGGACAGGACACAAAATAAAAACAGGACTCAATTGTTCCTGAAAATTGCATATCATTTAAAGGATGCCTAGATATACAGTAATTACTTTGGATGCATAAGGATACATTTATTTTGATTCGTCCTTTTCATTAACCTCAGAGACCCAATTTAACAGCTGCATATGGCACAAACAATTGTAATGGGTGTTAAATATGGCACATGAACTGACTGTAAAGAAACACATTCCTTTTACATTGCATTTGTATACATAACATACAATACAGCATATAAAATGGATAAAGGAAAATGCATATTATATTTGGACTTGTCAAAAGCATAATGGTTTGACAAATATCATAACTGGCATCAATGTAAGTTGCAAGGACACATAATGACCAGCTGATGTAGTCCCTGTTAATAAAGACACACCAACAATTGTGCCTGTACTCATAGTTCATAATGCACATACACTATGCTTTCTGCAGTTCATTCTTTTATATGGTTTACGTATTCTAGTCTGCAGTGAGTAAAACTCATCCTCACATCTCTCCAAACCTTTATAACCTTCTTTCATAGTCATTCTAATATTCTTTTTAAAAAAGTATCAGTATATTTGTTTCTTCAGCATTGAAAAAACCTAAACAGAATGAGACAGAAAACAAACGTATAGGCACACAAAATCTGTTTGGAACAAAATGCAGATAAATAAATCTATTAAATTTGCAGTAAACTTTTTCTTTTTTTTTTACTGACTATTCAAATCCCTGATTGCAGAACAGTCCAATTGGTTAGTTTATGTCTGTTGCCAACATAAATATGCAGAATTGTTTAAAAATAAAAATACAAATAGGACCTCATTCATTGCAAAGACTATTTCGAGAGGAATGTGTCACCAGTGGGTTTGCAAAGAACACATTAATGAAAGATTTTTGTACTATGCTAAGTTGAAGAGATTGATCAAACGCAAAGGAAAATGTGCTGTTTATTTTATTACCGTCAGGTCAATTTGTCCTTAACCTAGTGGTTCTCAATTCCGGTCTTCGAGCCCTGCCCTGCACATTTTCTCTGTGTCTCTTATTTGACACTCAAGGATCAGTATATGGCTCTCTCTGTTAACATGATGTTGATCTGAAACAGGTGTGTTAAGTAAGAAAGACAAACAAAACGTGCAGTGGATTGAGAACCCTTGCCTTAACCACTACTTGTCCTTAACCACTACAGAAAGTTTGAGATAAATAAAAAAATAATAAATCGAGGTGACAAAATGAATACTGATGATATATTGAGGTCTTATAAAGTGAAAAGATCGGTCTGAGCAAAAAACTGAACATTTTTCGTCAATCTGCAGCCTTGGGAAATGTCCTGATCACAACAGTCTGAAGCACGAGCTTCTTGTCAGATAATTGCATACAAAATAGCACTTATGTGATGATAAACAGGAAGCTCATGATCCACACTGCTGTGAACATGCTCAGGACGGTTTGCAGAGGTATCATCAGGCAACAAGGGTATTATTTCTGTTCTGCCTGTATATGTTGACTCTTAAAGTGGCACTTGCCATTAGCTGGGTTTCCATCAGCCTACAGTTTCACATTAGAAATGAGTGATGGAAATGCCAAATTTCAAATGAAATCCTTTAATCAGAACTAAACATTCAGAAAACTGCACTCTAATAGTTTTATTAACCTTTGCATATCCAAAGTTCGCACCTCATTTGGTCACTTTCTTATTTTCAGTATCATCTTCAGCAGACCATAAAGCTCAATACTTTTATTCCACTATTCTCCTTTAAAAATTCAATCCAGTTAACAGTACAAGATCACTTCTTTTTAGTGTGTCCTTGGATTTATACGTCATCATCTCCATCTGTCAATCTGTCATTGTATTGTGTCCCTGCTGCTTTGTATGTGCTTTTTATGTTGCCTTATGGTCAGGTCATCATTTTAAATGAGAACTGGTTCTCAATTGACCTACCTGGTTAAAAAAAGGTTATACTATAACGATCTACAGTCAGTTACAGTAAACATTGTGCCAATTAGAATCATCCAAACCCTCTTTAATCTCTTCAAGGAAAATGTTTTAAACATTTAAACTAAATAAATAAATTAAATTCAAGCATTCCTTAAAATAGGGATGCACCGATACCATTTAAAAATACTGATCTTTTTTTGGTACTCTCCGATACTGATACCGATACCTGTACTTTTTGGTAATATGCCATTTTCCGAAGTATGACACAGTGAGACTGATTAACTTTAGCACAGCTTCTCTGTAATTTTAAACAACAATAACTCAAACTGCTTTTTCTGTTTGTCACAAAGTGGCACAAAACATTTCACAAACATTTAGCAAACCAAGGACATAATAAAATTCAATAAAAATCCTCATCGACCGGTCACAAAGTTGTCAAAAAGCTCCAAATCTTATTCCCCCAAACAAACATTGTAGCATACCACTATATAACAACGTTCAATGTTGTGTAACAATCAAAAGTAGGTATCTGTCTTTGGTATCGGAGTACGTGAGCTCAGCATCGAGCCCAATAACGATATCGGTATCGGTGCAAATTGCCAAAGGCTACATTAACTTCTGATGCTTTTGCATTTTAATATTGCAAGCAAAATCATCACGGTCATTTGTAAGTTTAAACACAAAGCAAACAATGGCTGAATACATAGCGAAAGAGCTGATCCCAAAGCCAGAGGTAAGAGCAAACTCACTAGTTCCTCAAGAATGCCCACAAACAGCGCATGCATAAGCTAACCGCGTTTTTTCTTTTTTCTCACTGGGCAGATGTGGGAAAGGATGAAGTTTACCATGTTGGATACAATGTCGAGTTGAGGGTGCAGTTGATGCGGGTGGTGGTGGGCGAGCGTCATCTCCCAGGCGTCCACCAGCTGAACGTTTAGACCTTTAAACATGGCTCTCAGCACTGTGTCAAGCTGTTGGGAAAACCAGTCGCTGTTGAACAAGCTAGACTCTGCGTCCAACTTCTGGAGGTTGCCGGTGCGTATGAACACGAGAGTGGTGGGTTCTCGGTTTAGCAGTCGGATTACGGCCTTGCGGATGTGGCGCAAGCGTCGTATGTACACGGCCACTGGGTAAGTGCTGAAATGTGACCAGATGCTAATCACAACCACTGTGTCTGAACCCCCGCTCAAGCCGTCCAGCTCGTTTGAGATGTAGCGCATCTCAGCTGAGGAGACTGAGGTGAAGCGGATAGGCGGTCCGTGGCAGCGGTACTTCAACAGTGCGTTGTAGTTCATGTTCACTCCCATGTAAGGCCCCACATTCTTTGCGCTGTGAAAGTTGAATTCTTTGAACTCTAGAATTGTGAGATTAAAGAGGGAATGAGATGTAGAATCAAGGGAAAAACAACCATGCACAGATTGAAGAACATGTTAAAATACATTATTAGCATGATTATTTAGGGGAAAACACTGACTTCATTAAGCTTTTAAAAAAAATTGGCCACATTCAAATTGTTGAATTTATGGAATCTATTTAATGTTACTAGTATTCATTCATTGATTTCCCTTTGGCTTTGTCCCAACACTTGTGTAACGTAATCAATCATGTACATCCTAGTGAATGAGATGGATGGAAGTTGGCGAATCAAGGGAATAAAAAAATTGGACTGGAATGCAGTCATGTGTATCCCTCGTCCACTTGTGATTAAAACGAACAAATTACATCTTAATTCCAGGTGTAAGCAAGGCATTAGACAGCCAATCAAAAAAGCTTGATTCCAAAAAAAATCTACTGACCTGGGACGTTTGTGATAAGATACTCGTACCATTGCCTCACAGTGGAGTCTCCATACATGTAGAGCATTTTGCCTCTAAGACACTGGTTTATGAGTGAAGAGGTATTGAACTGACGCGGGACCACACCACTCAACGGCCTCCATGATCCCTGGTAGTAGTAACCGGACGGAGTGAATTCAAGACGCATCTTTTTGGTTCGTACTGGAAAGAAACAGATATTAATGTTTAAGGAAACAAAAATTAAAATGAAAAAATGTTGACTTTGACTACCAAACCTGGCTGAAGAGTATTTCACAATTCTTAAATGCTGAACTAAAGAGATTCTGTCATAATTTACTCCCCCTTTACTTGTTTTGAACCTTTATGATTTTCTTCTGTTAAACACAAAAGATGTTTTATAGTATTTCTTGTCCTACTATGGAAGTCGGTGATTACAGTTTTTCAGCGTTTTTCCAAATCCTTTTAAAGAAAGTCCTAAAGGTTTGGAATACAGTTGAGTGGGAGTAAATACATCAGGTAATTTTTGGGTGAAGTTAGCATTTAAGAGATCAAACCAGCTAATACTCTTTTACATGAACACACTGTTCAGAGATTTAGGATCGGCAAAATTGTAATATTATTTTTTATTTAAGGCATCAGAAGAATCCTGGGTAAAAAATGTAAAACTATAAGTGATTCCTTATTAAAATGTGTTAAAATATAAATGTTTTTGAGCACCAAATTAGGATATTTGAATAATCTCTGCCTGACATTACATTGTAAAAAAAAATGCTGACTTGCACATAATTCCCTTATGTTGTCCTAACACAAATCGATTAAGTTAAATTAATTGTTTTTACAAATTTAAGTGGATTAAACATAAAACAGTTACAAAAAAAGTTACCCCAGTTGCCGCATTCACCATCGGGAGGCGCTATAATCACTCTCGTAGGAGAGTTTTGCTTTCTCCATCCAAAATAAATAAAGTTATCCAACATGTGCGTCCGATAGCTCCGCCCCTTCCGCTACGTAAGCAAACCTGCGGTCGTTGAGTGCGTGAAGTGTCCATCATTACACACTTCATTTTAGCGGCTGAATGAGTGCATCATCCGGGTAATTAAAGTGCACTTATTTTAAGAGTTTTCAGTGTGAACACACTACTTATACTATTTATACTACAAAATGGCGTAGAATAGTGCATACAGTAAGTATGCGATTTGGGACGCAGCTTATGTCTTTTATATAGCAACTTTGCACTGATGAGCATGAGAGACTGCTGAGTTTAATCATATTTTACTAGTGAGCATTTATGATTTTCCATGTGCCACAATACCTTTAGAAGCAGGCAGAACAGTCACATTGTCCACCCCTGCAGAATGTATTGGAACTTTGATATTTACTCCACTGGAACAAACACAAAATTAATGTTTGAGAATAAAGTAGAAAAAGGTACATACAAACTTCAGTCATAGAATTTCCACTTGAAAATTTACAATATAGTTATGTGTTTGAGTAAAATGTAATTTTTGTTTGCTGACGACAGTTATTTTATATTTAAAGTCTGCATAGAGCAGAAATTGCTAAAACATTTTTTTCTCAGTATGTCGATGTACTTCCAGCTGAAATGGAATATTGAGTAGGGGGGTGGTGCTTTCTTCATGCATATAAATAGCAAACTAATGGTTAGAGGGGCGTGTTTAAGAAAATTGTGTCTGAAGCTATCAAACTGACATCAAAATAAGGAGCGCCACGCTAAAGGTGGATACAAATGGTCAGACTTTGATTGAGGATTACCAAAACAAACATTTTTTTCAGTAGATTAACTTTTACGGCTCAACCATTCACCTATAGAATAACAAAGTGCGCTCGCGTAACAAACATTGTAAATTCTGATTTCACACAGACTTTGAAAAAATGCTAATTTACAAGTTACAAAAAAGTAAAGAAAATGTAGTGTTTTCAGTTATGGTTAATTTAATTTTAGCTAACTTTAAAAGAGTTTCTTATTTTGGTAGAATAAATCTGATTTCAAAATCACATCAAATGAAACAAATTGCTATTCTGATCATGTCTTTTTCTAGTAAAATATGCTCTAAATGACAATATTTTTCGTTTAAAATACAGAAGAAATATTCTGAAAGCTTTATAGAACAAAACAAATATTCATATTTTACTCAAACTCATACCAAATAAATCCAAAGAAACTGACAATAAGACAGAAAGCTGTATACAGAAATACATTCTGTGCAATGTACAGTGGGGGAATAATATTTCTAAAGGAGCCGTTGACATGGAATTGAACCAGATTTTGATAAAAACCCAAACCATACACACACAAAAACAACCTGAAAAATGAGTTATGTTTAATAACAATGGAATGACACAAGGAGAAAGCACTTAACTGCTGAAAGTATTTAATACTTTTTATAAAAAGCTTTTTTGGTGATGGCAGATTAAAAAGACACCTCTCATATGGACACATGAACTTTACAGTGTAAAAACCTTGGTTCTGTGGGGGTTTATCTATTAAATCTGATCTTTTAAAAAATTTTCTATTGGATTTAAGTCAGGTGATTGGCTGGGCCATTCTACAGCTTGACTTTCTTTCTTTGAAAGCATTTGAGAGTTTCCTTGGCTGTGTTTTGGGTCATTGTCTTGCTGAAATGTTCACCCTGGTTTTATCTTCATCATTCTGCTAATGTAGATGTTGAACTGAAGCAGCTAATATTCATTTACAATGACGAAGGGCAGAGGCTTGCTGAATAACTACTGAGAGATTTCAGCTGCTGTCTGGGCTTTCACTGCCTTTTTACACCTCCCTTTCTTCATGTGTTCAATACTTTTAATTTTACATTTTAACACACATAACTTCATTTGTTAACTATTTAAATTAGTTTTCTTTACATATATAGAATTCTTTGGTCGTTACCAACATCTGGTAAAAAAAATGTATTCATCGACATCTTTAGAAATATGTTTTCTGAGAAAAATGGTGAAGTGTTAAATACTTATTTCCCTATCGTCACTGGAAAAAGTAGATATTGGTATTGTGAAACTACTCTACATGCAGCCAATGATGAAAAGCACTCACCTTTGGAAGAACTGTGACTCATAAACAGTGAGAAGGTTTTTCTTATACCCCCCTTTGGAGTGGTTTATCCGTGTATCACAGTCCAACATCTTAGGCTTATAACAGTACCAGGGTTCTCCAGTCTGGGGGTCTGTGTAGTTGCAAAGCGGCTGCGGTTTGAGCGGCAAACACAGATTACACAGAGTGGATTCAGAGATGTAACCCGAGCGGAAGAGGCTCTTGAAAAACACTCTGTCCGACTGCTCCTCTCTCAGTCGCTTAAGGACCATCACGGCTTCGCTGGAGTGAATCATTGTCAGCTCCACCTGGGCAACACCTGCCCAAAGCAGCGGGAAAAATATTGTGTAGTTTCCATTGTTGTGGTCACGGACCTGCCCCGCGACTCCTGCCACCAACTCTGGTGTGTGAAGTCGTGCTACTAGAAAGTCTCCTCCGTGTTTTTTGGGTTGGCCCAAAAAGTTGTGAATCTGCACTTTGACCGCCAGCTGCCCTCCGACCCGCAGGTCTCCAGTGTCTTGGATGGTGTAATAGCTTTGTGCTGGGTCGCTACTTTGACGCAGAGGCAGTCCCAGAGTTGACGGCTCTGGCCAGGCAATGGATTTGAGAAGGTAACTCTCCTCTCTGGCCTCCTCTAAAGTGGGCTCCTGGCCAAGGTGGGCACAGAACGAGTAGTTGAACTCCGTGGGCAGAAGAAGCTCAGAGGTTTTCAAGACTGACTGGATGCTGTTTTGAAGCTGATAGAAGGTTGATACTGTCTGACAGTTCCAGCTCTACAGTAGACAGAAACGGGAAATTTGAATACTGAGAGGTTTGTTAAATGGTGTTTCAATGTCATGCCAGTTGTCTTGGCTATTTTAAAGTCCAGTAAGAAGCTGAAATGCTGTATCGAATTTTGAAAACCTACAATAGCTTTTTAAAAGGTTAGCTAAATAATTTAATTTAACCCTCTTTAGGTTTAGGATTTTCAGACCAAATGATGAAACAACAATGATTTCCAAAAACAACAATTGAAAGCATATTATTTCAATATGATGAAATTAAGGACAAACATAATCCACCATAATGTGACTGAACAAGTGGATACCTTTAAGTAGGGCTGCTCGATATTGGAAAAATTTGGCATTGCAATATTTTGTTCTGCACCAGATAGCAGGAATAGCTCTATTAGGATAGAATTCATTAGTTCAGACTGATTGACATTTTTCTGGAAGATTATGGGGATTATTCCATATTATTATTGGGAAGATAGAGGTGAAATATTTTACAACACCGTATTCAGGTACAGAAATTGAATAATCAAATGTAAAATGTATAGTCTCATTTTATAAAAAATACATCTTTGCTAAAGTTACAAACAGTACATGTGCCTCAATGCTTTAAACACTCAAGCCTGAACATTTACACAGTCACAGGCCTTACAAGCACATGCAAATGATAATCCCATTATATAAACTCAAAATTACAATTCCTGGGATGTGACTATTGCACATGTGCACTTGTGATATTGATGTTGACACGGTATATTGTGTAGCCCTACGTTTAAGTATCTTGGGCTGGTCATTGACCGTACACTGTAAAAAATGCTGGGTTCCACAAAATTCCTTCATGTTGTCTCAACACAAATCGATTAAGTTAACCCAATCATTTTTACTCATTTAAATAGTTGGAACATAAACCAATTAAGTTGTTGAAAAAACTTAAGAATTGTGTTGTGTCGACTAAATAAGTAGTAACACCAAAAGTATTTTTTTTGAGTGTACACTGACTTGGAAAGCCCAAATTGACTACGTCTGCTTAAAGTTCCAACAAAGACTATATATTTTTAAGGAGACTCTGACTGATTGGAGCAAGTAAAAACCACATGTTACTATTTTATCAAGAAGTTTTGGGAAGTTTTCTAAATTATAATAATAGGCAGGCTCGGTATTGCAGTCATTCGGTTTAATCAAAAACATAGCATGTCTTGTTTATGTTGCCATTGGTGTAAGAGAGTATACATCACTTCAGTCAACTCATGCAATGTTGGGTTTTGAAAATGCACAAGTAATGCAATTTGAATCATGTTTTATTTCCAATGTATGAAGTACTTCCATTGAAAAGCGATGAAGCAGGAATTCCTTGTGTAAAAGTAATCAACATAAGGAGTTATGCCAGTGTCCATTGGTATTTTAAATGTCAAACGACCTCGAAGAGTCTTTAAAATCTCATGTTATGCGTTTTTTATTATTATTTTTTTTACTGAGTCTAAGAGAAATGTGCTGTTTATTAAAGTATAAAGTAAATATGAATTTATGTATTTAAAAAAACATAAAAATGCTTTAAAAAGTAAATTCCTGTCCAACCTCATATGTTTCTGTACAAACAAAACCAGAACCTAATAAATAAATCTAATTCTACTTCAATGGCGTGCTAAATCACATCATCCTAAATGAATATCTGCTGCATACTGAATTGACACTGTACATCCTGTTGTTGTACTGTATAGCCACAAACCACCATCTAAAAGTCAAGCTGAGACTTCTGCTCACCTCCAGCGAGGTGATGCTCCACAGCAGATACAGCAGTCCTGACAGCGCCAGCAGACTGAAGAAAGGGACGTATTTGGGAAAGTATTTCTCCATCATTTCCTCTCTCGGTCATCCTTCTGTCCACCACTACAGTTGCTCATGGCTGGCCATTATTGCATGCTAAGCAAAAAGAAAAAGAAAAAGACAGACCAAAAAAACATGTAAGCAGCAGTATTCAACTTACAATGGGTGCAGGTCCACAGAAACACTTAAAAAGAGGTAATCATCATTCCATCAAGCTGCTCTCTCTCTATTCAAAATTCAATAGTTAATAAATTCTCTAATTAAAATGCAAATTAGGCATGGCAAGCTAAAGCTACACTCCAGTGGCACATGTTAAAGATTAACTCCAGTAAAAATTAAATTGCTCTTATGACAGATGTGTCAAGATGAACTTTTCCCAAAAGCAAACACAAAGTACTAGTAAAACATTTGAGTGTACAACATACAGTACAGTGCAGCACTTTACATGAACATTCACCCATTTCAGACAGTGAGCTTTACCTGTAAATATGTCAATCACAATTATTCATAACGCACACTCACTAGCAACTTTATTAGGTACACCTGTTCAACTGCTCATTAATGCAAATTTCTAATCAGTCAATCACATGGCAACAACTCAATGCATTTAAAGCATGTAAACATGTCAAGACGATCTACTGCAGTTCAAACTGAGCATCAGAATGAGGAAGAAAGGTAATTTAAGTGACTTTGAACAAGGCATTGTTCTCATTATAACCAAGGTATGCAGAAAAGCATCTCTAAAAGCACAACATGTTGAATCTTAGGGCAGAAGAAGACTACACAGAGTGACACTCCTGTCAGCAAAGAACATGGAACTGAGGCTACAATTCGCACCGGTTCACCAAAATTGGACAATAAAATAATGTTGCCTGATCTGATCAGTCTCGATTTCTGCTGCAGCATTCGAATGGTAGGGTCAGAATTTTGGTGTCAACAACATGAAAGCATGGTGTGGTGGTGTAATGGTGTGGGGGATATTTTCTTGGGACACTTTGACACAATGCTCAGTTGGTACTAATGGGCCCAACGCCACAGCCTACCTGAGTATTGTTGCTGACCATGTCCATCCCTTTATGACCACAGTGTACCCATCTTTTAATGGCTACTTCCAGCAGGATAACACGCCATGTCAAAGCGTGAATCATCTCAGACTGGTTTCTTGAACATGACAATGAGTTTACTTTACTTTAATGGCCTCCACAGTCACCAGATCTCAATCCAAAAGAGCACCTTTGGGATGTGTTGGAACCGGAGATTCGCATAATGGATGTGCAGCTGACAAACCTGCAGCAACTGCATGATGCTGTCATGTCAATATGGAGCAAAATCTCTGAGGAATATTACCAATACCTTGTTGAATCTATGCCACAAAAAATTAGGGCAGTTCTGAAGGCAAAACGGGGTCCAACCTGGTACTATTAAGGTGTACCTAATAAAGTGGCCGGTAAGTGTACACTTCTTTTTTTTCACCATCCCACCAAATGATACATGGTTTTAGCACATCTCAAAATGAAAAGGGTGAGATGATCAAATATTTGCACACTATAAAGTCAGCACTACACCCTTTCCATTGCCTTTTGACTGTCAAATTACTGTACGCAATTAAACAGTTTTAAAAATACTTTATGACCTTGCTGCACTAAATGTAACAATTTATGGATATAAACTGTAACAAAACTGGATATTTGAGACAAAAGTGCTCTGGGACTTTGACTATATTCTTCAGCTAATATGATTGTGTAATTTTGTGTTATTTAAGGAAATGAATTCTGCATTTCTTGATATTTTTGCAACTCTTGTCACGAGATTACACGTACACGATAACCATCTATATGCATTTCCTCTTTTGCTACTTCAGCAACCACACATTTATGATTTGACCAAGTGTTAGACATAGAGTTTTATATAAACATATGAATGTTGAACTTAATAGAAAAGGAGAGTTTGTTTTGATTATGTAAAACTTCCTTTGCAGTCTCCTCTGCTCATCAAGGCTGCATTTATTTGATCAAAAATCCAAAAACTGTAATAGGTGAAAAATTCCTGATTTAAAATTGTTTTTATATTCAGACATTCAGACTTTCTTATTATTTATAGAATTTCAGAAAGGTAATCTTTGCAAATTATAAATAGGAAAATCATATTAACATCCAATGACTATCAAAGTACAACATTGTTCACAGTCTATTAAATAGTGCTAATGTTGTTTTGAATTTATACTTGCATGATATTTCACCCCCAATATTCATAGTAGCATGTCACAAGTTATCACTGCTAAAAAACAAACAAATGTGCGAGTATAAAACCAACTTTACCTAAATGATTACCCTACATTTTTAGCATCATTACTCCAGCCTTCAACATCCCATGATCCTTCAGAAATCATTCTATGTTTTGCTACTATGTTGTAATCAATATTTATTGGTGATTACGGCCCGTAGCCAGACTATCAAAAGGGTCCTTTTGCAGTTACTCGCCTCATTTTCTATTAAATTATGAGGTTCAAACACTGTATTTTAGTGACAGAAATTTTTGATTGATTTTCTTGTCAGATGGTTATCATAATCACACTTTCTGATGCAACAAAAATATATCCTACATTTTTGTCAAAGTGCTAAACATACAATGTTATGTTTACAAATAATAGTGTTTATTTACTAACGTGCATTTAATTTGTTAATTGGTTAACTAGCCAATTGAGTGAGCACATTTTTGTTATGCTTAATAAGAACTTTTCAATCTGCCTCCTATCAGTAATTTTAGTTTGCTGAGTGTTCTGTATTTTTAGAATTATAATTGTTTTGTTTTCATGATAAGCTACATTACATCGCTAAATTGAGTTGAACTTGTTTACAGAAAGATAAGGTCGTTTTATTTGTGCTTACGGTTTGCTCTAGAGAAAAACTTGTTTTAAATTTCTGAATATTTAAATGTAAATTTAAATAAATGTTGAAGTTAATATCCTTAAACTAACATGCAGAGCATTTTAGCAATAAGAAGCTACAATACAGATTACTGAGGTAAAGCTTGACTACAAAATTAAATCGCAAATCAAATCAAAATCGCAATATCAGTCAAGAAAATCGCACTTAGATATTTTCCCAAATCGCACAGCCCTAACCTATAGACATATAACAAACTGTCCAGAATCTGTCTATTTGAACAATTAAAAAATTATTTGTGTTAAAGCCTTCTTCTAATGCTTATTTTCACAATTTATAATGCCATACTTTCAAAAATGGAACATGTGAGCTCACATAGGGGCCAAATTCTAGACTTTGTCAGTAAGGATGTGGGCTTTTCGAACCACCCTACCCCCCGGGCTACAGGCATGTGATTATTGAGATAACATGACACTAAAAACTAATAGACTTAAACCACAGGAATAAATTACACTGTAAAATAGTCAGATAGAAAATAGGTTTTCACAATTTAAATGACATCTCAAAGTATATCTGTTGTTATTATTATACTTTATTTAAAATCAAACAAGATAATACAATCATCATAACCTGTGAAAATCTATACCTTTACCCACATTACAACATGCTTTCAAAAGACCTTTGGGATAAAGTTGTAGAAAGGCGATTAGGAGAAGGATAATGCAAAAAAAGGAAAAGGCAACAAAAACACTTCATAGATAGATAGATAGATAGATGTGCTTTATGTATGTATAATTTAGTATTAATTTCAGATTTTAGAACTGACTGAACATTGTTTCTCTTCGTGTTGTTGTTCTTTGGTCTGTCTTGCTTCAGAACAATACATCAAGGTGGAATAAACCAGCAAATCTAACTGTCGCTAAACAATTCAAATTTGCCAAACAACTTAGCTCTCAGCCTCCCATATAGCTCTTGCATGTTAAAAACACCAAGTGCCAAGTCAACTTTATTTTGTTGCAAGACCGAATCAAGGATGCTGTTAAGATTCCGCAGATATTAAAAGGAGGTATACAACGCTGTAAGCTTGCAACTGTTTCTCATGTAAGCATTTGTCTAAATGTTGGGGGCTATAGCCAAATATGGTGACTGAATATACTCACCATCTGCAACGATGTTGCAGTACTGCAGCGCCGCTGCTGCTGACAGCGTTGTTTTATCCCTCATGACGCCAACATCAAGAACAACAGTCCACCAGATATTAACTAAATAATCCAGTGCCTTAAGCGGACATCAGTAGATAAGATTAAAGAACAACGAGCAGCCTATATACGTCCAGACGCTTTGCTAACACTCAAGCACGCATCCTCATTTCCGCCCCATGTGTAAACAGAAGAAAGCAGCGGAAAGCAGATTATCGTGATGTCACATATTACGCTTCCGCGGGAAATAACATCACGCATTTTCATCGCGTTTTAGGTTGGATTGTTTACTAAAATACGGTGAATTTACGTCTAAGAACGCTACTCTGCATTAAAACGAGTCACATTAAGTTAAACAGCCACAAATGTAACATTCTTTGAAATTTTACATTTGAAAACATAAAATGCTTTGTCTACAAGTATAAGCCAAAGACACCACGTGTAGTTCTGTAAAATTACAAAATAATATTAATTTAATTACCAAAAAATATATAACATATGATCCTTTATATTGTGCTGCCTCGACGTCACTGTTATGTCCTGCACAGATTTTGGATCTGTTTCTCGTGTTTGAAGCAAATATTCTGCTTGTTAGTCAGTTATTTAATACAAATGGCCATTTCTTAAATTATAAATATTTTAATTGGTTCAATATTCCCATCCCCCCTAAAGAATTTGCTATTATACTTGATGCTATACCATCTGGAGTTATGAGGTTATTCCAAGGCATCCCATATCCTCCTGTTTTTCCTTCTTTAGACCCTTCTACTACAATAGTAGGAAACTTCTCGCCAACCTCTTCAAACAAATCAATACGCTCTATTTCTTAACAGAACTGTATCAGTTCTAAATGTTACTTTTTATTGGAACTCATTTGTTCATGATATTGTTTTGAAAAAATATGGCTCATCACAAATAGCTACTTCATTACAAGTAAGATATAAAAAGTTTCATTTAGAATCATTCATCATATCCAGTGAATACTCTCTTAGTAAAATACAAAAAAAGATATTGATACTTATTGTTCCGTTTGTAAGCAACACCCAGAGCCCCTAGTTCATTTATTAGGCAATGCAGTTATTTTAATTTGCTTTGTAAAGATTTTTTCATTTTTGTAATTGAGAATGTTGATAAAGACTTTTCCTTACTATGGGAAATGCTTTGTTAATATCAGAACAGAAGCTTTACATAAAAAGAAAATATATTTACATAATTTACATAATTTACATAAACTTTTAGCAGAATTTTATATGCACAAATGTAAATTTACAAACCAAAAACCTTTTATATATATTGCTTACGGTAATGCAGTATTTCTTTGAAACTATTTCTAACTCTTTTACAAAAGAGGCTTTAAAAACAATTGAATTTGTAAATAATATAATATTTTTCTTTAATGTGTGATGTATATACCCCTTCTGTTTGTTTTTGTTTTCTTTTTTCAAAATGTTTTTTAATTTTCTTTATAATGTACTGTGTATCTGCTCACTTTTCTTAAAATAAAAATAATAATAAAAATCATCTTTCTCATTCTGCAGTGATTAACATGAAAATAACTGCAATTGCTTAAAATATAGATAAATGTGGTATTTTGTTTAAAAATGTGATGTTTTTTGTCATATGAATAATTTGATGATTTATAAAAAAATAGATTTACTTATAAAAATGTATTTCAGATGTAGATGAAGTAAACATATTTGTTTATGAAGGCAATTTATAGGGAAACTTATTTCCCTATAATGACTTGAATGAAACCTGAGTAGGTTGGTTGGGTTAAGCTAGTCGACTAGTCTGGTTTTAAAGGGCTTTTGGTCATTTTCCAGGTTAGTTTTAGCCATTTCAAGCCTGGATTCAGCTGGGTTAGCTACTGTATTCCAAGACAAGACAAAAAAAATTATCCTGAAATGATGTGTAGCGCCCTCACCGCCTGATGAGGGACAATATAATGTTAATAAAAACACAGGAAACACGGAGCTGCTGCTGCTTCACGTCAGAGTCTGTGTATTGTTTTTTTTATGAATGCACTTAAAAGTATACTTTCACATTGTAGAACAACATATGTAAACATCTTCACAGATATTATATACACATATCACAAAATAATCACATATTCCCTGCACATTACTGCTATAAATTACTATAAAGTAATTATATGATTCTTCCTAAATAAACTATTCACAGTTTAATAATTCTATAACACAGACACACACATAAAGGCTTATAAATGACCTACACATATATCTCTCTTTATATATACATTGTAACCAACTATGGGAAATAATAGCACTTTGTGACTTTATAATTACTTTTGTAACAATATTCCCTTTGTTAGTTGTTATGTTGATACATATAATATACATTCACTTGACCGTTTCTACAGTTGGCATTTAAATCATCATATCATCATGTTACCGTTGGAATTACAGTGCAGAGCGTATATATATATACAGTTAATACGAACTCTTATATATATTAATATACACTATCCGGTTAATTTAATAGATGACACTTGTTGCTTTTATATCTCTAACGTATATTCAACACATTTTGATAACGATTTCAATATTTCATACCTGATGAGGGACAATAATGTTAATAAAAACACAGGAAACACGGAGCTGCTGCTGCTTCACGTCAGAGTCTGTTTGAGCAGCAAGCCCCTCCCCCTCATTAGGTATGGAGTAGAAGTAGCCAATCAGAAACATGTAAATCATAGAATCACATTACATTAATTTACAATATTTATTTTCTATTTTCTACTTAATAAAATGAAAGTGTACACACTGAAAGACAAATTAACTTTGATTTTTAATTTCTAATAATTCGTAACCACTTCAGATGCACATGTAAATTCTATGTTTTAAGTAAAGTGATCGATTTTTGAAATATAGGATATATTGGATATATTGGATTTTGCAGCATTTTTCCTGGAGCCACCACCAAGCTTTTTACTCATCCCTCCACACATGCTGCTGATGATGTGGCAATAAATGTGATTGGATTTGTCTAAAAATGGTATTACTATTCTTAACGGGCGGTGCTTCTTTTGGTGACCATGGCTATTCAAACTAACGCAAAATATAGCGCGTCATTCAAATCAGTGTTAAATTTGTAACAGCCTGTAATAAAAGCATTGTGTTATCATGTGAATTCAGTGCTAATAGATGCTACTACCAAAATAACTCACTTCTCGTTTACATTATACAATGCAATTTCTTGAAGCACCACACGAGGCCAGCAGTCACAAACAAACCATCATCTACGATAAAGAATAAAAATGCAACGATTCTTGAGCAGCAATAAAAAAAAAAATAATAATAATAATAATAATAAAAACAATATATTATGGTCTCAAGTGTTAATTCATTGCATGTTTCCTTCAGGGACTGCCATGAGTTATAACCTAGGAAATAGTTCATTCATACAATTTTAACTGTAAACGAGTCATAAATAAATGTGTAAAAATGGCAAATGATAAAAGCTCCAGCTTCTGTACCACTGGAAATGGAAGGTCAAGTTATGTGTATTCCATTGTAGCAGTATATGATAGCTACACTAGGCCTATTCATCCACACAATTTGCCTGTTATGAGCAGAATGTACAATACCTGACTAAAGTCTTGTTGTCTATCCCAGTTGTAAGAGCAACAAATAATAATTTGACTTAGTTGACCATTTGGACAAGAAGAAAGAATTTTCTGATGAATCATCTGTTGAACTGGGATAATTATCACAAATACTGCAGAAGACCAGCAGGGACCCAAGATTCTCATGGATATTAGTCAAGTTTGGTGAAGTAAAAATCATGGTTTGGGGTTAAATTCAGTATGGTGGTGTGCGAGAGATCAGCAGAGTAAATGGCAACATCAGAAGCCTGAGCTATCAAGACATTTGTGCTGCCTATCATCTTACAAACCACAGGAGAGGGCAAATTCTTCAGCAGGATGGCACTCATTCTCATACTTTAGCCTCTACGTCAAAGCTCCTGAAAGCAAAAAAGGTCAAGGTGATCCAGGATTGGCCAGCCCAGTCACCAGACATGAACATTAATGAGCATGTCTGGGGTAAGATGGAGGAGACATTAAAGATGAATCCAAAGAATCTTGATGAACTAAGGGAGTCTTGCAAGAACGCTTTCTTTTCCATTCCAGATGACTTTATTAATGTAATGTAATGTGTATTTATATAATGCATTTATTGTGTATGGCCATACACCCAAAGCGCAATCATGAGGGGGGGGTCTCTTCACACCACCACCAGTGTGCAGCATCCACTTTGATGATGCGACGGCAGCCACAGGACAACGGCGCCAGAGCGCTCACCACACACCAGCTATTGGTGGAGTGGAGAGACAGTGATAGAGCCAATTCGGTGGAAGGGGATGATTGGGAGGCCATGATCGTATGGGCCGATAGAGGGACTTTGGCCAGGACACCGGGGTTACACCCCTGCTCTTTCACGAGAAGTGCCATGGGATTTTTAATGACCACAGAGAGTCAGGACCTCAGTTTATCGTCTCATCCGAAAGACGGCGCCCACTGACAGTGTAGTGTCCCCTTTACTTTTACTGGGGCATTAGGACTCACATAGACCACAGGTTGAGCGCCCCCTGCTGGCCTCACTAACACCACTTCCAACAGCAACCTAGTGTTCCCTAGTGGTCTCCCATCCAGGTACTAACCAGGCTCAGCCCTGCTTAGCTTCAGTGAGTAACCGGTCTTGGGCTGCAGGGTGATATGGCTGTGGCTACATTATTTGTTATTTGAGCCATTGCAGAGATGTATGGATGCAGTTGTTCAAGCTCATGGGAGTCAGACACAATATTCATTCTTTTTCCACTGCAGCAAGACTTTATATTCTATACTGTACATTATTTCTGTTACTGACAAAGACTTTTGTCTAAGCAAAGTAAGACCTTATTGTCCTAATTAAATAGTCCTTAAATCAAGGCATGGTCATATTTTATTTTAAGAAAAAAAGTGTAATCTAGAGGCCTTTGCCTTTCATAACACACCTCTGATGCCAAATGATCAACTAGAAGTCAATTTATTTGTTGTTCCTAAAGCTTGGATACGCGACAATACTTTTGTCAGCTAGTGTA